CTATATAGGCCTGAGTCCCCTTAGGCTACAGCTGTGTAGTGTTTTTCCTTCCGTGGTTGGATAGTCTTCAGGTGTTCACTTGCCTAGGCTATAGTACTGTTATTTAGACACTAATCTAGGTGTTGCTGTGAAGGTATTTTGCAGATGTGATTAAAGTTGATAATTAAATGACTTTTATCTGGGTGGACCTAATTCAAGGGGTTGAAAGGCCTTAAGAACAGATCTGAGGCTTCCTTGAAGAAGAAATTTCACCAGTGGGCAGCAGCTTCAGCCCCTTCTGCAGAATTCCTCCCTGCCCTTCCTGATGGCCTGCCCTACAGATATCTGGACTTGCCTACCCAGCCCCACAACTGTGGAATTCCTTGCAATAAAATTCTTTTATCTATCTATCTATCTTCTACTGGTTCTGCTGCTCTGGGTGAACCCTAATAATACACATGGGAAAGGAATACTATGACCACCGTTATTAAGCAAGCAGTGTCCCAGGATGCTGCATTTTTTCTGTGTGATTATATTATTAGTTTAAGAGAGAATAATTACCATGCCAGTCCTAAACCTTCCCTTATGGTATAATTCAGGTTCCCCTCTCCCCCCCTACAGTAAACTCCTGCAAAACCCCTTGGGGTTCCAGAAGTTATTTTAGTGGGCTGGGACCAATGTAAAAAATAACAAAAAGAAACAAAATAGCATTCAGTTTGCACTACATGTAGAGTAAATGCCATGGAAGCCTTGGTGAAGGTAAAAGCACTGGAGTTGACTTGATGAAGAGTCTTAATGCTTTTACCTAAACTGCTTCCCCCTCCTCACCCTGCCAAGTCCCCAGGGCATTTCCAGGCATCCAGAACTATGTTACCTAATGTTAAATTGGTAAACAGGAAAATTCCTCCCCCAGGCCAACTAGAGACACTCCCTAGAATTCCTAGGAAATGCTTCCATTTCAAAACTTTGAAAATTTTAACCTTCAGATGCTGGGTAAAGAACAAAAGCACAAAATATTATTTGGCTGTTGTGGTAAACTAGAAATAACAGGGCACAAGACTAGGACCAGTTTTTAGCCCATCCTAAAATTTACATCTTATTGCATTTAGGGCTAGGTACAGAGAGGGGATAACCACTTAAGTTTGTCAAGTTCCATAATATATGTATTTTGATTTTACATGAAACTAGAAGAGTTTATTAAATTACATTATATAACTGATATTTAAGTCTACTGAATAATGGTTCAAGGAAACGTGCAAATCTATTATTACCATAGTTAGATTTAATGTAATTTGTCAAGGTGATGAAATCAGTCACTTGAGTAACAGAATAAGTTACTGTCATATGGCATAAATAACTGCTTATTTTCTGTAATCACCTTTATGATATTAAGTAGCTTCATCCATAGTTACATTCATACTATTTTATTTTGTCCTATACTGACCTCTACCATAAGAAACAGAACATGATTTTCTTGTGGTGACTTTATGGTACAGTACTTACTTGAGTTCTCTACTGAGAACTATATTAATCCTGTCCTTTAATGGTCGATTCTTCTCTGGAATGGAGAACCAGGTTTTCCTACCCATAATCACCAAATTCTGTTTACCTGTAAAATCACACGCAAAAGATAAATATATTTTGGGAGTGTACATATATATTTTTATATATTCATACATATATGCATAGATGATTGTCATAGGGACACCTAGTGGATCTGCTTTAAAAAATTAAAATTTAAAACAGCTTTATCAAAATTTACCATTTGTCATCCATTATCTAAGTCTATTAACTGTTATTTCCTTTGGCTTTAGCCAACTTATAACCAATATATACTTTTCATCAACTGTAGTCATGTATATTATAGTAGTTAAGAGCAAAGATTCTGGGTTGAAGTGCTCAAATTGAATGTATTCTGTCATCTACTAGGCGAGTCATGTTTATCTCCTGTCTTATTTTCCTTATCTATAAAACGGAGATAATGGTAGTTCCTACTTGTAGAGTTGTTGTGGCGATTGAAGACTTATAATACTCAGCATCTAATATGTACTGTAATAACTGATATAACAGTATTATTCATATTTGCATACTTTATACATTTAAATTAGTCATTTTTTTTTAAGACAGCTGCTTAATATTCCATGCAATTAGCTTAAAACTTTACCAATTGTGCCTCTGTGCATCTAGTTCAAGTATAACGCTTCTATAAAAACTATACACATGTAAAGCTTCCATTTTTGTTTAATTACTTAGGAGAAAAAAAACCCTTGGGAGTCAGGTATCTGGATCAAAGGAACATACTCATTTCTATGATTCTTGATATGTTCTGATAGACTATCAAAAGGAGTGCATGTATGTTTTCTTTTTTCAATGTAGTTTTGTTTTATTACTTTTTAAAAAAATTATTTAATTTATTTATTTTTGGCTGCGTTGGGTATTCGTTGCTGTGCGTGGGCTTTCTCTAGTCGCGGTGAGTGGGGGCTACTCTTCGTTGCAGTGCACAGGCTTCTCATTGCGGTGGCTTCTCTTGTTGTGGAGCACGGGCTCCAGGCGCATGGGCTTCAGTAGTTGTGGCTTGCGGGATTCAGTAGTTGTGCTTCACAGGCTCTACAGCGCAGGCTCAGTAGTTGTGGCGCACGAGCTTAGTTGCTCCGTGGCATGTGGGATCTTCCCGGACCAGGGATCGAACCCCTGTCCCCTGCATTGGCAGGCGGATTCTTAACCACTGTGCCACCAGGGAAGTCCCTGTATCTGTTTTCTTAAAGAATCATCGTTAGTTTGATTTTATTTAAACAAAAACACTAAATTTACAAACTGCAAGTTGTAAGACTAAGCATTTTTCAGGTTTTGCTTCACTACTCTTACCAAATATTACCTCCAAATGTTGGAAAAAAATTTTTTCCTCCAAGAACAAACAAAAAACCCCCTGTAATTCAGAGTACCCTTATACAATATGCACTATATTTTCAAAGACAGAGCTTTACGTGTTCAATAAGGAGATATCAACTATTAAAGATAATGGAGCTAATAGGTGAGGAATTCTGATGAGGAATATGGCACAGACCTGACCTAACAACTAAGGTAGAGATGATAAGTGAAGGACATAGGGAGGCGTTTAAAAAAAAAAAAAAGCCAAGACGTCCTTGGTACCCTTTCATTCATTTATCCAAGTAATACTATATTTACTGAAAACCAGCAAACAGGTCAGGCATGGGATGCTCTTCCTATTAGCAGGCCATACTTAGGATTCTTGGGAGTGGTTCATGTCAATTTTTTAGCTTCAAGCTTTTGCCATCATGTCTCCAACTAGTGACTCAAGGGCCAAATTGAAGTACCTTTTATCTGTCCTGTTATAGTTATGCTGCATCTGCTCCTTTCTGATTTAGTTTCCCTGTTTACTCTGCTATTCCTCCTCTAATGAATAAACACACATGTCTCTTAGGTTTTTTCTCCCTCATGCCCACATTCTTATCCTTGGTTATCCTCTTCTCTCCAGTGGCTCAATTCATCTAGTTCCCCGTGCCTGAAATTGTCCCGGATATACTACAAGCACTTTAAAATCATCATCATTACAGCTGCACGCTATTCCCCACTCCTTTATTTCCCATGTCACCCAGACTCTCAAACTGAAAATCTGAGAGTTCATCTTTGATGCCTTCCTGCATCACCTTTAACTTTCTAATCTCCAAATTGAGTATCTTGTAACCACTTTTTGGACTTTTGTCCTCTCCATTGCCATTCAGGCACTATCATCTCTTCCAGCAGCTATTTCAAAGGCCTGTTCTGGTTTCCTTTGCCAGCGCTAACCTCCACAGAAGCCTCTACCTAGCTTCCAATTTTGACCAATACCTGAGTTGTACGCGCGCTCACATAAAATTTCAAAGAAAATTTTTCAAAAAAAAAATGTTTAATGAATCTTGGGAACTGCATCCTCATTTATGTGAGGACAAAAGGTCCCAGACTAACATGAAAAACTTTTAAGTAAAATTTGCACTGGTAAGCTTCCTTAGGCAAGACCCTTCGCAAATTTGAATCACTTAAAAATCCCACATTACCTTCTACTGAAGAGGTTGTGGTCATTCTTTGGAAATACCTGTATTCATTCCTACAAGTTAGAGAAACACATGGAGTTACTCAGAATGGGATCCCGTGGGCTTCAGCTCTAACGCACCCGACAAACTGTGCGCTGGGGGGACCTCCAGGACTGGGACTTTGCTCTGGGGTAGGACGCGGGGGTAAAAGGCCTAGCGGGGCAGCTGGAGCGGGACGGAAATAAGTAACTAGCCGCCAGGCTCCTGACGCGGAAGGAAGTCTAAGCCTACCTCCCGCCAACTCAGGTCACGAGTCCGACCCCTTCTTTTCGCAGCGTCGACCCGGCCCGGCCCAGGTGCCCCGATTAAGCTCCGATCCAACACAATCGACCCACCTCCGGCCCAGCAGGTACCTGAGCGGGGGCCAGGGCAGGTCCCCGTTCTTGCCGATGCCCATGTTCTGGGACACAGCGACAATGCAGTTTAGCGGACGAACCATGATAGCAGCAGAAAACACTTCCAAGCTAGCACGTCACACTGACCATGGGGATTACCCGCCAGCTTGGCGCGAAATTTTGGCCACCCCGCCCCCTCAGTCCTATTTGTGCAGGCGAGACCCCGCCTTCGTCCCGCCCCCCGCCCCGGCGCACTGCAGGGTTGCGACGTGCTCGCGCCCGCAGACGCCCTGGGAACGGCGGCCGCGGGCTCGCGCTCCCAGCTCGTCCTGCTCCCGGGCTGTGGCTGCGTGCTCCGCGATGTCGCGCCGGAAGCCGGTCTCTGGTGGCGCCGCTCCCGCCGGCCCAGGCCCTGCAAGGCAGTCGGTTTTGAGCAGATTCTTCCAGTCTACGGGAAGCCTGAAATCCACCTCCTCCCCAAAGGGTGCAGCCGAGAAGGCGGATCCTGACTCTGATTCCGCAGCGCCCCTAGCGGCCACTCTCCAGCCTCAGTTGCCGCCACACGTGGTGGGTTCGGTCCAGGGCGGGGCGGGGCCATCGGGGAGTGGGCGCGACCATACGGGCGGGGGCGGTGCTTGTGGGTGGAGCGGGACGAGGCGGGGACTGTGCGCGAGAATATGCGAGATGACTGGGCCAGGAGGGAAAGGGGCGGGGCTCAGGAAGGAGAAAGAGGGAAGAGGCAGGGCAGCATCCGTCCTAGACGCAGTTCAGACATTTTAGGGTAATATTACAGTTGGGGTAATAGATTTGAGGCTAAGGTCACACCGGCTCTTAATGGCAGACCTTAGCTCATTCTGATGAGGTTAGAGTCAAAGGATACATATTTTAATCTCCATCCTCTCCCCTCCCCCCCCCGTTTTTTTTCTGGATTGAGGGTTGAAGAGGAGCATTATTTATTATTTGTATGTGTTTGGTTAGCTGACTAGACGAAAACTGCCGTTAAATCTCTAGTTCTTAAGGCTGCAACAGCCTTGCTTAGTATTTCAAGCGTTTACGGGTCAAAGTCATGTGCAGTTCCCTGGTGACTGTACCCCTTGTAGTTCAGGTTATAAAGTCTGATACACAATTTGGGTGGACAAAGTTTCTTAAGATGATACAGATGTGATGACTAGTTGTTGTATGCTTCCTGTTGCTTCAAAATCTTGTTCCCTTCATTTATGTTTCTTCCATAGATGATTGTTCCTCTCCTGTCTTTGTTTTTTGACCATAGCCTATATTTTCATGAATGCACCAAGATTTTATTTTATGCCTACCATTTAGAGGTTATTTGGTGAAGGACTTAAGTTTTTGACAGGTTTTCTGCCAGCATATAGTCCATAATCTTGTGGCATTTTCAGTGGTGAACATAAATCAAGTTTGAATGTGAAACAGTTAAATGACAATTAACATTTCAAAAATGATACTGTTTTAAATTATCTGTCTAAATTCAACTTTTCTAAATATTAGGTCTTTTTCTTAAAGCTATTCTATTTAACATAGGTAAGTAGGGTGATTCATAATCTGAGATAGGGGAAGACTGATCGAGTGAAGAAAAGTAGCAGCCTTGGTTCTAATTCTAGGAGGGCTTGAGGTGCTGAGGCTCATGACTTGCCAGTCTCCACCTTGTCTTTGAAGATGGTAAAACAGTTCACCCATAACTCTAAACAGATGATTCTATGAAGGGTGGATGGCAAGAACCTTGCTGTCATTCAGAAGTAAGGTTTAAGTTATTTTGCATACATCAAGTTTTGAGATTAGAGATAATATCATTTTCTAACATAGGTTGCGGAAATCGATAGGAGTAAAAAGAGACCACTGGAGAGTGATGGACCTGTTAAAAAGAAAGCAAAGAAAGTCCAAGAAAAGGAAGAAGGAAGTGATTCAGTAATGTCTGGGAACGCTGGTGAGTTCTGGGGCAATTTTTCTTCATTCTTACAAGTAATGACTCTGATATTCTCACATTCTCCTGAGGGCAGAGGAGACTGTTGGAGTATTGGGCCATTTTTTCCATTGTGGAGAAAGGTCTCCATTGTGCTTGAGTAGACTGGCCCCTTCATAATGGGTGGTGTGGGTAAGAGGTTGGGGGAGTGGAGGTAAGAGATGGAGTTCTGCAATTTGGCTGTAGTTCTCCCAATTTTCTCTCTTATTCCCTCTAGCAAATTTTTGTCTTGATTATAAAAGTAAAATGTTCTTGTTATAAAAATTTCAAACAATACAGAAATGTAGAAGGTGGACAGTAAAAGACCTCATAATCTCTCCCTTTCAATAAGGGCTACTGCTAATTTTGGGGGGTGCTGTACATTCTTCCAGGTTTTTCTGTTTATATACATCTATACGTACTCAAATAGACCCCAAAATAAGTTAACTAATAATAATATTTTATAAATTATATTATACTATATATACTAATTTGCAACTGTTTTTTTTTCCACTTAGCAGAACATTTTGAACAATTTTCAATGTCAGGACAGGTAGATCTACCCTGTCCTTTTAAATCATGGAGCTGCTTTTTCTGTATGCTAAAGGGTTTTGGGTAAAACCACTATTCCTGAGCTGTTGGACTTCTAGGGGAGGTATTGGATACAGATGGTTGAGCAGATTTTTCTCTAGTTTTTGGCCTCAGACAGTTTGTGATAGGGGAGGACAGAAAATGCTTCTTTCTTCATTATCCCCAGGAATTTAGGTAAAGAAAATGAGACAAAACCAAAAAAAAAAAAAAGTTTCTATTTAGTGGATCAAGAGGTAAAGATTGGATTTAGGGTTAACATGAAAGCCTTAGTATGAAATAACTATAGAAATGGAGACGTATGGTTAAAGAGAAGGATAAATCTGATGATACCCTTTTTCTCCTCCTACCTGAAGGGGCCATGACGAGAGGCATGACTTGACAGAATTTGCATTTTCCAGGGTTGTCTACCTTTCTTTGCTTCATTACTCTACATAGATCTGATCTATTCAGTTTTTCAGTAAATTCGTCAAGCTGTTAATGAACCCTCTGTTTGCCTGCCATTGTTGTACAGGTTTTTGTAGTTCTTTTATTCTTCCAAACAACCCTTGCTGTCCTCCGGTGATAGGTGAGGTTGAGGGTTACCACACTTAAGTAACATTTTCAGGCACCCAGGAGAGCTGAGGTGGAAAAGGGGCAACAGACTTGGAATGTTTTGAAGTAAGACCTTTGCTACTTGGTAAAAATCACACTCAGGAAGAAGAAAGAGCTTTCCCCAGTCAAACGCTGGGTGATTGCTCCACCTCGGGTTTTTTTTTTTTAAATAACAGATTATTAAGATATAATCACATGTTATACAATTCACCCATTTACCATGTACAATTCAATGACTTTCAGTATATTCACAGAATTGTGCAGCCCTCATTAAGTCAATTTTAGAGCATTTTCATCACCCTCAAAGGAAACTCAGTACCCAATAGCAGTCACTTCCCATTTTCCCCAAGCAGCGCCCCCCTCACCGACCTAAGCAACCACGAATCTATTTTCTGTCTATAGATTTGTCTATTCTGAACATGTCATATAAATAGAATCATACAGTATGTGGCCTTTTTGTCTGGTTTCTTTCACTTAGCCTAATGTTTCCAAGGTTCATCTATGTTGTAGCATGTATCAGCACCTCCTTCCTTTCAAAAGTTGTTTTGATTTGATTTCTTTTTATTGTGGTAAAATACACGGAACATAAAATTTTCGTCTTAACCATTTTTAAGTGTACAGTTCAATTAAGTGCATTCATAATTTTGTAAAACCGTTACCTCCATCCATCTCTAGAATTCTTTTTGTCTTGCAGAATTGAAACTCTATAGCCATTAAATAATAGCTCCACATTCCCTCTTCCCCCAGTCCCTGGCCATCAACATTCTACTTTCCATGATTTTGAGTACTCTAAATTATATCATTCCTTTTTATTGTTGAATAATATGCCATTATATGGATCCACTTCAGTTCTTAATTCTTCAATTTATAAGCTCATTTTTATACCTAGGATCCACAGGGGAAGGAAGCTTTTATACTCAAAAGGAAACTTGATACATTTGAAAAGTGATTTAAATATGTGTTTTGAAAACAAATTGAATAATAATAAAAAGGTAAAACATACATTTGAAAAGAAATTCAAATATATATCTCTAAAAGAAGAGAAGTCACAGGAAACTAGGTAAAGTATATATTAGAAAAGTCCTATATTTAAGAAGAAAGGGAGTCATAGTATTCCTTCAAAGGTTCTTAACCTTTAACATTTGTGACATCAAGGTGTTTTTGGTGTTTTTTAATTATGGTGTTGATTTCCCTAATATGTCTTTTTTCCTCTGGCTGCTTTTACGATTTTGTATTTATCACTGGTTTGCCCACATTTGATTTTTTTTCTTAACATCTTTATTGGGGTATAATTGCTTTACAATAGTGTGTTAGTTTCTGCTTTATAACAAAGTCAATCAGTTATACATGTACATATGTTCCCATATCTCTTCCCTCTTGCATCTCCCTCCCTCCCACCCTCCCAATCCCACCCCTCCAGGCAGTCACAAAGCACCGAGCTGATCTCCCTGTGCTATGCGGCTGCTTCCCACTAGCTATCTACCTTACGTTTGGTAGTGTATATATGTCCATGCCTCTCTCTCGCTTTGTCACAGCTCACCCTTCCCCCTCCCTATATCCTCAAGTCCGTTCTCCAGTAGGTCTGTGTCTTTATTCCTGTCTTACCCCTAGGTTCTTTTTGACATTTTTTTTCCTTAAATTCCATATATATGTGTTAGCATACGGTATTTGTCTTTCTCTTTCTGACTTACCTCACTCTGTATGACAGACTCTAGGTCTATCCACCTCATTACAAATAGCTCAATTTCGTTTCTTTTTATGGCTGAGTAATATTCCATTGTATATATGTGCCACATCTTCTTTATCCATTCATCCGATGATGGGCACTTAGGTTGTTTTCATCTCTGGGCTATTGTAAATAGAGCTGAAATGAACATTTTGGTACATGACTCTTTTTGAATTATGGTTTTCTCAGGGTATATGCCCAGTAGTGGGATTGCTGGGTCACATGGTAGTTCTATTTGTAGTTTTTTAAGGAACCTCCATCCTGTTCTCCATAGTGGCTGAACCAATTCGCATTCCCACCAGCAGTGCAGGAGTGTTCCCTTTTCTCCACACCCTCTCCACATTGTTTCTAGATTTTTTGATGATGGCCATTCTGACTGGTGTGAGATGATATCTCATTGTAGTTTTGATTTGCATTTCCCTAATGATTAATGATGTTGAGCATTCTTTCATGTGTTTGTTGGCAGTCTGTATGCCTTCTTTGGAGAAATGTCTAGGTCTTCTGCCCATTTTTGGATTGGGTTGTTTGTTTTTTTGTTATTGAGCTGCATGAGCTGCTTGTAAATTTTGGAGATTAATCCTTTGTCAGTTGCTTCATTTGCAAATATTTTCCCCCATTCTGAGGGTTGTCTTTTGGTCTTGTTTATGGTTTCCTTTGCTGTGCAAAAGCTTTGAAGTTTCATTAGGTCCCATTTGCCACATTTGATTTTGATGAGCCTTAGTCTAGTATTTAAAAAAATTCTTATTTCTTCATTAATCTTTATCCTGTTTGGAGTTCATTTAAAGCTTCTTGGGTTCCATCGGTTTATAGTTTTCATCAAATTTGGAAGAATTTTTTGGCCACTTTTTTCTCAAATTTTTTTTCTGTCTCTTCCCTTTCTCTTCTTCTGAGAGTTTATTAATAGGGATGCTAGATTACTTACCATTATCCCTCAAATAAGGAAGCTCTTTTCATTTATTTTCCAGTATTATTTCCCCTTCTGCTTCATTTTGGATTGATTCTCCTGCTGTATTTTCAAGTTCAGTGATATTTTTTTCCAGTAGTATCTAATATGATATAAATTTAATTCAGTGAAATGTTCAGTTCAGATATTGTATATTTCATCTCTAGAAGTTCTGTATTGTTCTTTTTAAAAAATATCCCATTTTTCTATGTAAATTGTATTTCAGTAAAGCTGTTACCAAATAAAAACCTTCCATTCTGCTCCTCTTTATTTTTTCCTTTTCATTCTTGATTATATGGAACATGTTTATAATATGTGTTTTCATGTCCTTATATGCTAATTCTGTCATCTCTATCATTTCTGGTTTGGTACACCTTGACTGATTTTTCTACTTTTTGCATGTTTAGTAATTAATTATTTGGATTGTGTTTTGTATTTTTGTTTTTTAAATTTATTTATTTTTGGCTGCGTTGGGTCTTCATTGCTGCGTGCGGGCTTTATCTAGTTGCAGTGCGCGGGGGCTACTCTTCCTTGCTGTGTGTGTGCTTCTCATTGCGGTGGCTTCTCTTGTTGCAAAGCACAGGCTCTGGGCACGTGGGCTTCAGTAGTTGTGGTGTGTGGGCTCAGTAGTTGTGACTCATGGGCTCTAGAACGCAGGCTCAGTAGTTGTGGTGCATGGGCTTCGTTGCTTCACAGCATGTGGGATCTTCTTGGATCAGGGATGGAACCCCTGTGCCCTGCATCGGCAGGTGGACTCCCAACCACTGCGCCACCAGGGAAGTCCTGATAATAAGTATTTTGAACTTTGTGTTGTTGTGTGCTGGGATTTGTGTTTCTTTAAAGAATGTTGAATTTTGTTCTGGCAAGTAGTTAAATTCCTTGTGGATCAGTTTGATCTTTTTTGGGATTGTTTTTAAGCTTTGGAAGAGAAGGTCTAGAGTAGCCCCGTTCTTAAGCCTTGACTTTTCTAGAGTTGGGAAAGGATGGATAGTTGCAATAGCACACCATTATATAGTATTTACACCATACAGAGACAATACATGTTAATAATCTTTAGATTATAGACAATAGTAAAATGTAATAAAAGTTTTAGGAAGCAATGAGGTCTGAGTATTTATTACCTTTGTTTTTTGT